TTTTTGATTTATTGTAGAGATGAGGTCTCGCCAAGTTGCCCAGGTGGGTCTCGAACCCACGGGCTCAAGCAATCCACTCACCTTAGCCTCCCAAAGGCGCAGGATTACAGGCTGAGCCACCGAGCCTGGCTAATTTTTTGCTTTATTGTAGAGACGAGTTCTCGCTATGTTGCTCAGGCTGGTCTTGAACTGAGCTCAGGTAATCCTCTCGCCTCCGCCTCCCAAAGTGCTGGTATTACAAGCTTGAGCCACTGTACCCAGCATCTGAGTGGACTTTTAGTGTTTTTCTTTTAATTTTATAGTTTGCCCTTTCTTTGAAGTAAAAATCAGGGGAAAAAAGTGTTTGTCATCCTAGACAACTTGGAGAAACCTTGTCTCTACAGTTAAAAAATTAACTGGGCATAGTGGCAGCTCCTGTAATCCCAGCTACTTGGGAGGACAAGGCGGAAGGATCACTTGAACCCAACAGTTCAAGGCTGTGATAGCTGTGATCGTGTCACTGTACTCCAACCTGAGCAACAGAATTGAGACTATGACTCAAAAAAAAAAAAAGCAATTGATTATAGAATACAGTGTTTGATACCACTTGTTTGAAAATGGAACACGAATGTTTTAGGTAGGCTGGCAGAGGCAGGAGTGCCGTTTTGCTAGTAAAATTTTAGTAAAATGATTTTCACTTGGTTTGCCTTTTTTTAAAAATAAAAAATAAATTTCATTCTTTTGGACAAATATATGGCACTGATCCTCCCACCTCCTCCTCCCAGTTGTGCTTGCTGAAACCTTCTACTAGGTTAATGATTCAGAAAATTTCCATCTTTTGTGTGCCCTATTCATGAATATTGGCCAAGCTGCCCTTCTACAAGGACTGTGCAGCCCCTTCCTTCAAGGATGCTGCTGTAACCCTGTGTCCACTCAGCACATGTCTGAGGGCCTGGCTGCGTGCCCAGCTCAGTGCCAGCTGCTGGATGGCCAGCCCCAGAGCAATTCTGGTTAGCTCCATAGTAATTGAGCACAGGTTGTGTGATTTAGTACAGATGTCATTTTCTATAATAGAAAGTTAATCTAAAATCTAGTAAGAAAATACACTGTTTTGGGCCTCCATCCAGATTTATAGCATATAAAAAAGAAGCCACAATTTTTATCTTGAGTAACATGATATATTTTTCCCAGTGATTACTTTCCTTTTTCCAGAACTAATTCAAGGATTAAATACTTGAGTAGATCAGGTCCTTGAACTATTCCTTAGGTGTCAGTGAGGCATTTTTTTGAAGTTTATTTTTACTTTGAAGATACTGCATACCCATTCAGTGGGAAGTATCCATGTAATGGAGAGTTGCACATCTTAGAAATATCAGTGCCCAGCTATACCTGGTAGAGTACCACCGAGAAGGGGCGGGTCTGGTGCAGGTATACAAAAATAATGCACCAGAAGGTTCTTTCAAGTTGGAGTTTCTTAGGCTGAACTTCCACTTTTTCTCTTCTTTCCCTTTGCCAGGATTGATGTGTCTCAGAATGATCTTCCATGGGAATTTATGGTTGACCGTCTTCCTACTGTCTTGTTTTTTCCCTGCAACAGGTAATGCTGAATGCTTTTCAGTGTTGGGCAGATGGGATTCTTTTGTTGAGGTCTGAAAATGAAAGGGGTTTAAGGTGTAAATCATTCATTATAACTAAACTCTTCAATAAATGTGCCCTTACGGACACATGGCAAAAGGGCTTTAGTGTCAAGATTTTATGAGTGGTGCAGATTTTTTAAAGAAGTTTGCTTTTTTCCAAAGTCTGTTTTTCACATGAGCTTGAACATGGATTCCATCAGCATTTGTTAGGGTTTGTGGCCTATGTGAAGGTATGGAGGATGCAGAGATTGGCAGGGAAGAGTCCGTGTTGGTGCGGGATAATGCAGCAGTGGGTCTTCCCTTGCTTGTCTCTGAGTTACCTGTCCCCCAGGCCCCTCATTCCTCTCTTACAGGAGGCTAGCCTCCCACCTGGGGTACCATCTTTTGTGTGGATTCAGGGAGTCCTGCAAAGAAGCTTTCAGTGCGTGCACACAGCAGTGCACATCTGTCATGGGCTGGCATGTGTCTTCTCCCACTTGCCTAGCTGGTATTCCAAATCCAGCAGCTGCTCTAGAAGTCCCAGCAAGCAGGGATAGGACATTAGCAGAGGGGGAATGGACTTTGCAATTAGTGAACGTGGATGGAAATGTTTCAATACAAAAAGAAATGAACTCTTGATTCTATAGAGCCTGATGAACTGGCTGCTTGCTCCCTTTGTATAGATCCCCTTTGGTTTTAGAAATTGAGTCCTTGTGGGGACCCAGTCACGTTGCTTTCACGGTATCTTCACATCTACTGAATAATTTCCTTGGTTTTTGCTCTTTAGCTCAAAGAATTTTTACTGGAATACTTCCTGTGGCAGTAGGGTCTTGTCAGATCTCACACTAAAAACAGAATGTGACTCACCCTATTCTACTGTTGGCTGAGTTGTGATGAGCATTTTTCTTTCTAAGAAGTGTCTAAATTGCCACATAGTCAAGGAATCATGGACAGTATCACTAGCAATTTCATCTGTGTGGGACAGAAGTTGGGCATGTAGTCTAATGATGTCTAATTTTCTAATTGCAAGCATGGTTTGAGAAAGTATTAAAGGCATAACACCCAGCGAATGCCTTTGCATGAAGAATTCCCAGCAGATGGCATAAAGGAATATATACTGAGAGACACAGCAGAACAGGTGACAGGTGGTCATCTGGAGGCCCACGTCAGGGTGGTTGTCACTCTGAAGCTTCCGGGTATGGTACACAAGAAGAGAGCTCATTGTCCAGACCTGTGCCAGGCTTTGCTATTGTCCAGGGCTGGAAAGGTCAAGACTGTACAGATGGAATATGAGAGGACTTCTGGTCTGTCTTAATGGAGAGAGCTTGCTAAAACCCAGCTTTTTGGCTTTGGAATGGAATTTTTCTCATTTCCTAAAAATAAATGGCAGTCATAAGTGAAGTCACCTTATCATTCACTGGTCCCAAGTGGATGTTTGGTTTAGCCAGAAGGTAAATGGGCTAGCAACATGAGCAGACAGCTTGCAGAAGAGGAAATGAAAAAGCTGGGTGATAACATGGAGCAAGACTTCTCACAGTTCACCTGCTTATGCCATTAAAAATAGAAAAGTGTACATGCTCTCTGAAAAAATAGAAACGTGTGCGTGTGGCAGGTGAAAATGTGCACAGAAGGAAAGATGCCAAGGTGCTGACATTGATGACTTCAGAGGCGTTGGATGGCACACGATTTTAAGATGCTTCTGGTATGAGTTCTATGTTCCTTGCACATTGTCTACAAAGAGCATATCCTGTTTATAAAAATCATGAAGGAGAAAACCATGTGAAAGAGCCCGTCCTCTGACTAGAAGCAAGGTGGGGCCTTGTGGGAGCCTGGGCCCTTCTGTGCAGGGAGAACTCAGAGCCACTCCTTGTAACATGTCAAAATAGAGGTACTGTGGCCAGGCTCTGGGCCAGCAGATGGGGGCGGGCTGACATCCATGTCCCCCAGTCTGCTGTGCTTGGGGAAGAACTGTGCTTCCTCAGGGGTGTGCTGCCCAACCCTTACCCCCCCATACCCCCTGCTGAACTAGAGAAGAGTCCAGTAGACATTGGCTATACCCCACCGTGCTGCCCCAGTGCTGCTTTTTTGGAAACAGATGGTTGACACCTCTGTCCTTGCTGCCTTTTTTTTTGAGTGCGAGTCTTACTCTGTCACCCAGATTGGAGTGCAGTGGCTCCCGGCCACTGCAGCCTTGACCTGCAGGGCTCCGGCGATCCTTCTGCCTCAGCCTTCCAAGTAGCCGGAACTACAGGCGCGTGCTACCACACCCGGCTGATTTTTGATTTATTGTACAGATGAGGTCTCGCCAAGTTGCCCAGGTGGGTCTCAAACCCGCAGGTTCAGGCAGTCTACTCACCTCAGCCTCCCAAGGCATGGGATTACAGGCTGAGCCACTGAGCCTAGCTCCTTGCTGCTTTAAAAAGTGTGGAAACACGTAAGCATGCCCACTGGGGAGATTCATGGAGAGCGCAACAAGACTTCCTAGAAAGCATGCTTAGGTGTCTTCATATGTCCTATAAATGTCTCCAGATGGACAAGAGATCTCAGTAGTTCTTTCTCAGGGTGATTCCCTTTACTCTGTGCTAGAAGACTAGGTTTATATTAGCTGCAAACACAGTGGCAGATCCAGCTGCTGGTGCCCTTCCCCATGCCCACTGCAGGGGCACCATGGGTTTTTAGTTGCCACTTGAATAGCTGGGATGCCCTACTTGAAGGTAGCTTATTGTTAATAAAACTATGCTTTAAAACAGTGGTCCCCAACCTTTTTGGCATCGTGGACCCGATTCGTGGAAGACAGTTTTTCCACAGACGGGGAACGGTGATCATTAGGCATGAGATCCTCATAAGGAGCCCATAACCTAGGTCCCCTGCATGTGCAGTTCACAATAGGGCTTGCGCTCCAATGAGCGTCTGATGCTGCCACTGATCTAACAGCAGAGCTCTACTCACCCACCGCTCGCCTCCTGCTGTGTGGCCTGGTTCTTAACAGGCCACGGAGCAGTACCTGTCTGCAGCCCAGGAGTTGGGGACCCCTGCTTTAAAGGAAAGAATGATTGAATACTTAGCCCAAAATTATCTTCTAGAATAATTTACATACAAGGTTACAAGTTCTTATTTATGTTTAATATTACCTGAGTGTTTTAAATACTTTTTATTAAAAAGTTACCTGAAGCAGCCGGGCTTGGTGGCTCAGCCTGTAATCCCGTGCCTTTGGGAGGCTGAGGTGAGTGGATTGCCTGAGCCCGCGGGTTCGAGACCCGCCTGGGCAGCGAGACCTCATCTCTACAATAAATCAAAAAATCAGCCAGGCGTGGTAACGCGCGCCTGTAGTTGCAGCTACTTGGAAGGCTGAGGTGGAAGGATCGCCGGAGCCCAGCAGGTCGAAGCTGCGGTAGCCGGGAGCGGCCACTGCACTCCAGTCTGGGCGACCGAGTGAGACTCCAACTCAAAAAAAAAAAGTTACCTGAAGCTTCCATCAGCTTTGTAAACCATGTAAAATGGGGTGTATCTGATTTTCACTTCCTTGTGATTTCTATTTTAGAGGGAAAGGGCTACCCACTATAGAATAGCTTTGATCATTTGAGATATTTCACTACTGGCTTTGCGTGTGGAGTTTTTCTTTTTTTTAAGTTGGAGTCTCACCCTGTTGCCCAGGCTAAAATGCAGTGGGTATGATCACTGCTTGCTAGAGCCTCGACCTCCTGGGCTCAGGCAGTGCTGCTTCCTCAGCCTCTTTAGTAGCTAATTTTTTGACTTTTGTGGGGATGTGATCTCACTGTGTTGCCTAGGGTGGCCTCAAATTCCTGGGCTCAGGTGATCCTCCTGCCTCAGCCTCTCAAAGTGCTGGGATTACAGGCGTGTGCCACTGTGCCTGGCCTTTGTGGAACTTTTAGTTAGTAATTTCTTTTTTTTTTTTTGAGTTGGAGTCTCACTCTGTCGCCTAAACTGAAGTGCAGTGGCCGCTCCCGGCCACTGCAGCCTCGAACTGCTGGGCTCCAGCGATCCTTCCACCTCAGCTTTCCGATAATTTTTTGATTTATTGTAGAGATGAGGTCTCACCAAGTTGCCCAGGCGGGTCTCGAACCCGCGGGCTCGGGCAGTTCACTCACCTCAGCCTCCCAAGGCGCAGGATTACAGGCTGAGCCACTGAGCCCCGCTAGTTAGCAATTTCTTAAGGAACAATTTGATCTCTTGAGAACCTCCAACATTCACTGAGCATTCACTTTATTCATTTAATCCTCACAATAACCCCACGAAGCAAGTGACACTTTTATTGTCCCTGTTTCACAGAGGACGCAGTTCAGGAGCCCAGAGTAGACACTTGTCTGATAGCACTTGACAGCGAGCCCCTTGTCCCTCAGCTCTGGAGTCCTGCTCCCCACCTCCACGCCTTTGCCCCTAGAGGGAGGTGGAATCAGCTGTGGGCCCATCTGGGCATACATGCACAAAGCTGGTGGTTTTGGTTTGTTGTGGCCAGGTTTTGCCTGCACAGGTGAACAGATCTGCAAGAGCAGCTGTGGTTGTCAGATGACTAAATGACAAGCTCTGAAAAGGAATTTTCTAAATCAGGAACAAAGCCATGGGGAAAACCCCTTCCTGTGTCACCTTCTGTCCTTACTCTGTGCTGTCAGAGCCAGGCTCCAGAGTCCCTTGGCTGGTCTTTTACCACCAGTAGCACCTCCCCAGGCATGAGCCAGACGTGCCCACAACTGAGAGTCCCTTAAACCATGCGTAATAAATGTTTGCTGAAAAAACAGGTCGAGTGTTTTGCCAGGCACTGTCGATGGGTGACAGTCCTGTCCCAGGACGCCCTTCCTGATATGGCCTTGTGTCATGGAGCACATAGAGACCCCTGCTGATAGGTCTCTGGTGCCCTGTGTCACTGGCCTTGACCTTGGGCCCAGAAGTACTTGTCCTTCTCAGGAGATTGTGTGCAGAAGCTGGGCTCCAGCCTCAGAGCGGACACGTGTGTGAGACGAGCTGTTTTAATGACGGAACAGGCATGTGGGGTGACCTCCTCTCGGTGGAGACGCTCTTATGCAGGCAGCATTTTCCTTAGTGACTTGCAGTGAGCTGGACCCTCGGAATGTTTTCTTTTGGTAAGAGGCCGACGGCCTGCCCTGGAGCAGTCTGGTTTTAGATGGAGCATTTTGGCATGACTTTCATCTTTGATCTTTTCCCTCTCTCCAGAAAAGACCTAAGTGTGAAGTACCCAGAAGACCTTCCCATCACCCTTCCAAGCCTGCTGAGGTTCATTTTGCATCACTCAGGCCCTGCCTCCGCCCCCCCGAGCACGGCTGGTATGCCCACCAAGGCATGTCTCCAGAGCGAGGCAGCCTGGCAGCAGGGGCACATCTCCCACCTGGAGCGAGAGATCCAGAAGCTGAGGGCAGAGATCAGCAGCCTGCAGCGGGCACAGGTCCAGGTGGAGGCCCGGCTCTCCAGCGCCCGCAGAGATGAGCACCGGCTGCGGCGGCAGCAGCAGGCCCTGGAGCAGCAGCATGGCCTGCTGAGGCGGCACAGCGAGCAGCTGCAGGCCCGCTATGCTCAGAAGACGCGTGAGCTCGAAGGGCTGGCGCGCAGGCTGCAGGAGCTGGCTGACGCCTCGGAGAGCCTGCTCAGTGAGAACACGTGGCTCCGGCTCCTGGTGGCCACCATGGAGAGGAGGCTGGAGGGCAGGCCCGGGGCAGAGGACCAGGTGCCCGTGGGGCCGGTGCATGCTGAGCACTCGGAGCCCTCTGGCACGCCCCGCCTGTCTGGCAGCGCCCCTCCACCTCCCAACGGCAGTGCCACATTGGCATCCAAGAGGAGTGATGAGAACAGGACAGATTAGCTTTTACAATGACATGAAGAGATTAGAGGGGAAACTGTACATTGGGAATATATTTATGCAAATTTATTGAAATTTATTGTAAATAAAGATTTTCTCAGTGGTCTAGAAAATCAGCTTGAATGTCATTCAGCGTTTATTGACAAGGGATGACATCCCTTCCACTTATTGCACAAACTTGGTAGCATTGAGACAAAAACAGCACAGTTTGCTCAAAGGTATGTCTGAAAGTTTGCAGTGGCTCAGCATGGAAAGTGCCCTCCTATCCCTACTACTGCTTCTGTGAGGACGTGAAGGACAGAAGCGTGGTTTCTTGACTAGTCAGAAAAAGTGAACGCAACAGCTGGACATTCAGGAAGAATTCAAGAGAGATCACAATTTACCAAGCCAGTGAGTGTGGCTCTGGTGTCTACGCTAAAAACAGTAGCTACTAACAAGTGAGAACAGTGCAAGCTGTTACATGGCGGTTCCCCAGTTGCACAGGCCTCACTGCGCCTTGACCCTCACCTAGCACAGCTGCCACACTCTGAGGGACCCCATCCAGGGAGCAGAAAGAAAACCTCCAGGAGGACACTGTGAGAGAGCGAGGCTTGATCATCTCAGAACTAGAGCTTTGCTGGCAAGGTGAACACCACGGGGCGAGTAGACAGGCACATGACAGGTAGCCCACGGTCAGGTGTGAAGCTGGAGGGAAGAGCCTAGATTTACACTGCTGGCTGTGGCGAGAATAGAGGTAGAAAGCCTGGAAGTTTGGGCGAGTGGAGGTGGGTCAAATGCCTTCTCTAACTCGCCAAAGCAAGACTTCTCCCTGCCTTCCGGTCAGCACCTTTGGGACTCGCCCTCCCTCTGGGCTGACTGCAGGGCTGGATCCCCTCCCGCACCTGCCTTGGGTCCTGCCTCTCCTGACGTCCCACCACCACCCCTTCCTAAGCTCGGCCACCCGTCTGCGGTCAAAGGTGTTTCCTCTGTCTCCCCAAGGGCTCCCAGCAGCCCCCGGTGATGTTTCACTACCACCCCCGTCCCCAACCCAAGCTCTTCGTGTTAACCCCCAGTAAGGGGTATGCTGCTAAAAAGAGGTGTTCCCTACAGCTCCCTGGGGGGGGTTCTAGAAACGGATTGGTTCAACATGCTTTTTTAGAGGAGGCCTGGGTGCGGCCAGATGCCTCTATCCTGGCCAGGTGGCCGGAGCTCCATGGTTACGCCAGGGCCAGCTTCTGGATTCTTACCGAGGATGCTGACACAGTGGTGTCTTAACCATCACAGTGCAGAAGGTGCTCACTGGGGAATTGGAAATCTAAGCAAGCTCGCTGGTGTGTACACAAGGGAAGCCATGGAGATGCAAACTGCTTGAGTGCTGGCTGGACTGAGAACCACAACTCATAGTCTGCAAGAACCAAGTCCTGAACTTGAAGTTCACTCCCAGCCCTGCCCCCACTCCCTGCACCCAGCATGAGCTGGCAAGGAGTGGTCTGGTGACTCCTGCGTGAATGTGCACACAAGAAATGACCTTCCACCAACACTCGCACCTTCAGAGCCAGGCCAGGGGACTCGGGACACAGCCTAGAGACCCAATGAAGAAAGTGAAAGCCAATACCTAGCATGTGGGCCATCATCAGAGAGGGAAGGAAGCTAACTTGTGAAAATGGAAGTGAGAAAGTAAAACAACCTCAACAGTCCCCTTCCCTTCCCTCCCCCTCCAGTGCAGAAATCTTAAAACAGAAACAAAAACAACTTTTTTCACTCTCCTGGGCTGACTGGGTTTCAGACCAAAAATAGCCACTACAGGCCCTGGTGTTTCTATGAGGACCAGGGCACTGACAGAGACGCCGCGTCTGGAGACCGCACCTGCTCAAGGCCAAGGACTGGAAACTGCTCTGCTACTAAGACGCCTGGAGCCCTCGGGACTCGTACCCTGACTTGTCCTTCACCAGCTCCCAGGCAGGCTAGTAGCTTCCTTGCAATACCTCCTCTACCCACAGGAAGTGCTGCTTGGACAAGGGAGTCTACCAGGAGAAGGGAGGAGGGGGTGTGGCCTTCCTCCATCCGTGACCAGCCAAGCAGAAGTCACCGGCTGGGCAGCCACGACACTCCAAACTGGCAATCTACTCCCTTGATACATGCACACGTGGGTGTACATGAGACCCCTGTTCACTGCAGCCTGGCCTTCCAGGGCTAAGACCCTCCCATGGTCTTGACTCAGCTTGTCATGTGTACAGTCGTCATCGAACCAGTCCCATGTACTCTATAGGACATTTTTTTAAAACACAGCAGAACGGCGTAAGCACGTGCTCCCAGGGCCTATTTACAGTTCACAGGTTTGTTAGTTCACACATGACAGTAGTAGCTCCATCAGAAACAGGCTCAGCTAGACATTCAAGTAACAAAAGCGCTGCAGGGCCACGTGCCCCAGCGAGGCGGGGCCTGCCCACTGCCTGCAGTGGGCAGCCCCACTGGGAGGCCGAGCGGGAGGCCCAGGACAGCTGGGCCCCTGGAGTCAGTGCATGCGATGACGAAGCTCGCCAAGGCCATGCCAGCAAGCGTCAGCCCTTCCTCTCAGCCAGCAGCATGTCCGTGTGGCTCTGCCCCTCCCAGCGCCTCTCGGCCAGCCACAGACAGGCCTGGGAGCCTCGCGTCCCAGATCAGCCGTGGACTTCTGGGCCGCCAGGGGCCATCAGCTTGGCCTTTCTCTCCATGCACGGTCCCTTGGCCGAGTACTGCACCAGCAGGAAGGGCTCCTTGGTCTCGCCATCACCCACAATGCTCTCTTCGTCCTCCGACTGACTGATGCGCTGCAACCGCAGGTAGCACCAGCAGCCCAGGATTAGGGCGCCCAGCGCGGCGATGGCGATGAGGATGACGATGACCGTGACCACGCCCGTGGTGGGGCTGTGGTCCATGATAGACATGGTCGGTGCTGGGGGGCCTCCCGGGTAGGAAGCTTTTAGGATGGCAGCTCAGTGAGGCTGGAACCCAGGCTGTACACAGGAGTCCTGGAAGACAAAGCAAGCCCAGGTGAGTGGAGCCTTCCACGGGGACCTGGCCATGCTCAAGCCCGGGTCGCCGCCAGGGTCTGTTTTCAACAGTCCTAAGCCCGCCATCCGCCCGCTGGTGAGCAGCACAGCGGCCGGCTTCAGCTGTGTCTGCCTCCCGAGCTCGTCCAACCTGCTTCAATTCGCGACCTTTGCCGCCTAGTGTCACCCTCGCTCAGCCCCCTGGGACACTAGGACAGCTGCTGCCGAGGCTGCAGGAGGGTGAGGCGCTGTCCTGGCTCTTCTGTGGAAGGTGTGCCTTCTATAAACCCAGTACCCTTGGGGTTCAGTGACCCCTTGGGGACTGAAAGGAGCCCGTGGCTTCAGATAACATCAGTCCCTGTGGCCAGCACAGAGCAGCCCAGTCGCCCCAGGGCACTGTGGCCTGGAAGCCACCTGGCATGGAACACACCACCAGAGGGCAGCTGGCGGCAGAGTTCCCTGTGTGGCTTGGAGGACGGAGCCGATCAAGCAGGAGGGAAGAGGGTCCTGGAAGATGGAGCTCTTGGGAGAGTTGAAGGCAGGGGAGAGGGACAGAAGCCTCCCTCAGAGCTCAGGGTATAGGGCAGCAGGGCAATGCTCCCAATGCCAGGCCCTCCTCATGCAGATCCGTGTCAGGAACACAGGGACCAAGTGCTACGACGCCACGCTGGGTGTGCAGGAAGCCACGCCGATGGGGAAGCGCATTCCCGGCCAGGGGAAGAGCCACAGCGAGACTCTCAGGCGGAGGGGGCCTGATGGCAGTGCTGGGAGCCACAGAGCCAGGGGTGGGGAGGAGTCCCAGCCGGGCCAGGCCAAGCGTGGGGGGAAGGTGAAGGGAGTGACACTGGGTCACCTGGTCACCACTTGGTCACACCAGTCAGGCAACTGCCCCCACCTGTGGATGCGGCTGCCCAGGGGAAGGAGGGCACAGCTGTGGCTGTACGTGAGCTCCACAAGGCCAGCCCAGGCACCCGGGCAGCCTCCAGGGTCACCCCGCTGAGGTGAGGGCTCCACAGCGTTCCCAGACCTTGCCCTCCCTTACTTCTGCCTTACTGGCCACAGACGGAGCAATGACACACCCAGGGGACAGTGAGGACAAGACAGGCCTGAACACGTGCGCATGGGCTGGGCACGCAGTAAGAACCAGACGTTGGAACCCTTTTTTCAGGTTGTCATCAGCAGATAGACAGCAGTGGAAGGTCCCCCAAGCAGGATGGAACCTGCTACGTCCTTGAGCAATGACGGCCTGAAGGGCAGCGGCGGCTAAGTCAGCGTCTCCAAGTCTGTCCAGATCCCAGCCCTGGGGAGACTGCAGACCTCGCAGAGGGCTCTGGGCAGAGGGGATGTTGTCCCTAATCTGTCCCCTTCTGACCATCTCCGGGGCCCAGGCCGTGACCGGCCCTCTCAAGGGCACCCTGTCCACCTGCATGGGCAACTGCAGCCAGGGCCCTGTCCCCGTCCTCAACAGTGACCTCCACCTGCTTCCTGCCACCAGGCCTTTGCCCACACAGTTCTCTTTGCCCAGGAAGTTCCCTCTGCCCGAATGTCCTGACCCTGGACCCCTTATTCAGCGGTTCTCAACTGGGGACGCCGAGGACATGTGGCCATGCTGGCGCCATTTTTGGTTGTCCCAACCGGAGGGAGGGAGTCCTCCTGGCAGCTCAAAGGGGAGGGCGTGGCTGCTGCTGGACATCCCAGAAGGCACAGGGCAGCCCCCGCAATGCAGGGCGGCCCGGCCCCAGCATCGGCATACAGGGCAGCAGAAGCAACTCTGACCCTGTTACACCAGCTCCAGCAGGGAAGCTGCCCTGACCTGGAAGCCTGGGACGCTCCTTCTTCACGAGCCCGGGCACCCGGGGCACGGCCACCCGGAGAGTGCTGCACTCTGAGTGGGCCAGGTGGCCCTGCTCACTCTGTGCCCCTGCATGCACAGGACACCTTGGCCTCCTCTGCCAGCACCAGCTCCCGAACCCCGCTGAGTCGTCCTCTTGGGCCTCCAGACCAGACAGGAGCCCTGAGACCCACTGGAAGCCCAGTGGGCCTGTGCCCACCTGTCTCAGCCTCCACACCCTTCCTGCCCGGAGAACACCTATCTGCCCTGGCCCTCCCGCCCCCTCTCCCCTGCACCTCTGGTCCACTGGGCCAGCCGGGCAGCCACCCTCCCATGGGGTTCACAGACAGGAAGGAAAGTCAGTATCAGTTCGGAAGGGGAAGTGTATGTTTGCGGGGTGGGGGTGGGGGTGGCTCAGGAACAGGAAGTGGAAAATCAAACAACGGCAACCATGACCTGGGGTGGTGGTCCAGGGGTCAAAGCCAGCTAGGGAGTCCAGGAGCACCAAGGGGAAACCAGCATTCCAAAGACTAATAAGGGGGACTTCTGAGAGTAGGGACCGCAAACCCTGTCTGCTGCCCCCACCCCAGGCCAGGAGGGGTGGGCAGAGCCACCCCTCACCCCCATGGGCCCAGAGCCCAGTGACCAAGCCATGGTCACACCTGGCCCATGGCCCCTGGCCCTGCCCCTGGCCGAGTGCCTGTGTGTTCCTTCATTCAGTCAGCAAGTGTTTCCTGAGACCTGATCTTTCAGACCATCTGAGCACATCATCCCTGGCTCAGAACCTGAGAGTCCAGGGTCCCTCCTCCCCGGCCTCAGCGCCCCCGCAGTCCCACTCTGCCCGCAGTGTTCTGCCCCGATGGGCCAAAACGGCTGCTTCCTACTCAGAACTTCCTTGGAAGCTGCTCCTCAGGGGCTGCCCTCCCAGGCCACCCCGGCTGCAAACTCCCACCCGCTGTCACCCAGCCTTGCCCTGCTTCGTTTTCCTTTCTTGCTGCCTACCATTCTCTTGGGCCAGGCTGTTCCCCTGGCTGCTCTGGGTCTGGCACTGGATTCTAAGGCTGTCAGAGGAGGGCAGTGTCCATCCTGCTCAGGGCTCTGCCCCGTGTTCTAGCACCAGCACACAGTAGGCGCTCCATAAATGTCTGCTGATGGAGTGATGACTCAGAGGAGCCCCTGCTCTCCTGGGGATGGGGGGTGGGGAGCCCGTCTGAGCCAGCTCCCACCCCCAGGACCCTGAGCACGGTCCTTACACCAGTCTCTCAAGACTCCAGGAAGCCGGCAGCCTGTGTGGGAGGACTGGCTGCAGCCCTGGGCAGGGTGGGGTGCCCTGTGCCACTGGGTCCCAGGCAGGCCTGAGCCTAGGGAGGGGCAGTCGTCTCCTTGCTTGCTGGGGGAGGGATGGGAAGAGGGAGCTGAGAAGCGGAGCCCACAGGAAACTCACAGTGCTGAGGGCAGCGGTACACTGTGAGCCCTGTGTGCCTGGCTGGGCCCCACCGGCCTGCCATACCTCTCCTAGGACTCCCTCAGGCCCCTCTGAGTGAAAGCGTCTGCTGGAAGCCGCCCCTCACCCTGAAGCCCACAGGACCCGGAGGAGGAAGGGGCAGGGAGGGGTCACAGCTTGGGCTGGCACGTGGGGAGCAAAGACCCTCAGAATAGCCCCCACAGTCACGCATGTTGACTCCCTGCAAGCACAGAGTCCTCCCCACAGGCAGGTGGCAGCCTCTGCTCACCAGCCTCCTCTCCATTTGGCAGGTGGGGAAACTAAGGCACGGAGGGTTTAGGTGGATTGCCCAGGAGAAAGTAGCGTGGGACCCAGAAGGGATCCAGGCAGAGCAAAGGGAGGAGCCTTCCAAGTGTAGATCGCAGCCTGCGGTCTCTGGGGCACCCTGGAGCATCCCCTCAGCCTGGCATTGGAAGCCCAAGGCCACCTGGAACCTCCCATGCACCCTCCGGCTCCATGTGCCCCCAGTCCTGCCTCCCTTTACCAGAGAGGCCTGACCCTCCGATCCCACCCATGGCTCCAGGTCAGCAAGCTCCCAAGCCCGGGCTCTCCAGTGGGTAGACCCTCTTCCCAGAGGAGGTCCCAGTGGCATAGGGGCGAGGGCACATGGGTCCCCTGAAGAACAGCAGCCATCAGCCAGAGCCCTCAGTCACCCCTCTGGCTGCCCAGGTCGCAGGTATTACCATACTTCATGCCTGGTGTCCCAAGGCCCAGAGAGACCAGTCACGGAGAGCCCATGGGCAGAGCAGTGGACCCCACCCTATCAGAGCCTTCCCAAGCGCAATCCCTGCCCCAGCCTCCGCCAGCTGAGATCAGGGGCTCCTCCTGTCCTGCTGTCCCTCACAGGCCCTGCTTCCTCTAGGTTCTCTCCAGCATGGGGGCGTTTCTGGCTACCCTGGCCTCTTCACAGGGCCCCCAGACTAGGCCTGACATACTCCACAGGCCAGTCCCTGTGCTCCAGGCCCATGGGCCGCAGCCAGCACAGAGCAGGCTGGGCACCCCCCTTCCTCCCACAACTGCTACTGTGGACTGTGTCTGCCGGTCAAGCGGGCCACCCCACACAGCCTCAGTTTCTCAACATGCAAAGTGGGAGCGAGCACCAGCCTCACCCACCGAGTGTCTGAGGTAGCAGTGGTGAGAAACATGGAAATGAAAGGGCCATGGGTTGCCAGGTCTGCGTGTCACCAGCCACACCTTTCTGGGTGCCACAAGGAGGACAGGGAGCCCTCAGCCCCGACCCCAACCCTGGGACTAGGAGGGCGCAGAGCCTGGCCCAGGCCTAATGCCACAAATAGCCCCTTCCCTGGGGTAAACACCGCCGCCTCCTCACTTAACTGGGCACATCACGAGTGTTGCTGGGCTCGGCTGGGCACCAGCTTCCACCCCCGCCCAGCAGCCTCCACCTCCTGGGCTCCTGGGGGATGGAGAGAGTCGCAGGAGTTGCCCAGCTCACAGGGGCACGGCCAGGGGCTTCCAGCATTGCCCTCAGCAAAGCCACCTGCCAAGCATGTCAAGCAACTGGGGGACTCCAGCTCAAAACTAGAAGCATTTACTGCCCTGGGTTCTGATTGGGAAACCAGGATTGCAGGGAGAGCGGGCATTGCTGGATACAACCAGGACCAGATGGAATGTCCGCTCTGTG